TACAAGAATAACTACAGAGCTTTTTACTTTAAAAAAAACTTTTTCAGCTTCAGTGTCAACTTTGCGGCTTTACTGGGAGAAATGAGATATTCTAGCCCCAGGAAAGACTTTGTAGATGCCACTGAACTTCAGCATGAATATGAAATGAGGGTTAGAACTTGAAGGACAATGTAATGAAAGTCTTGGCTGAAACGATTTTATGGAGTTTAAAAAAAAAAAAAAAAAAGTACAACTCCAGCTTTACTAGCTAGACCGGTCTCTTGTCCCAGTTCTGATATAGACCTTTACAGTGAACCTTCTTAATTAGCAAAATGTGCTGTCCAACTTCCTCAGCATAGCTTTACTGGTGTACCAGTATACCTATCTCGAGTCCCGTGCTAACCAGTATGAGACCTGAGCCGCATTAACAGCATTCATTTCATGCTGGGTCTGCTGGTATTTTCAGCAGGAACACTGTGCTATCATAGATAATGGTATTGCACATTAACTACTGGCTCAAATATAACTTTGTGATATTTCACCCGTCTTCTTCGTCATCCCGGCAACGCTGTTTTTTGTTGTTGTTTTAACAGTCCGACTTTCCAAATTAAAGAAAAAGAACTCAGTGAAGTCGTAAAAAACGACTTCCCAACTCGAAACTGGGACCATCCGAGGAGCACATGAATGCAGCAAAAGTCCAGTTAGAAGGTAGGACAATACAAAGAATAAAAGATAAACAAACGAACACTGAAAGTTCATTATTTATCATGTTTCAGTTTCTTTTCTTTTCCTTTTTCATTGCTGGGATGGGGGTTATGCAGGCGCCAGTCTTACCTGCAAGTAAATGGAGCACTCCCACTCCCAAGGTGGGGGTGAAGCTGCGGCACAGACAGGCACAGACCCCAACAAGGCCACTCAGAAACACCAACGCCAAAGATACTAAGGGCAGGAGAAACTGACACCTCCACAAGTCTAAAAAGAAAAAGACATTTTAAATATTAACAATAACACTTGGACCCAAAACATGATCTCAAGACGGCAGGTGTACATTCTGACAGAAAGGTAAACAGCAATATGGAACAGTCGGATGCAGAGAGTGCTTTCTGGTGAGTACATTTGAGACAAATTTGACAGTTGTTAAAAAGCACAGGCTCAAACGGGGGGCCGTTGCGTACGCAGTCGATTCAAATATCTTATACAGGTGTTGACAGCAGGACTGGAAAACAGGTCAGGGAAGAACGCTGACAGTTTAAGAGATTAATAATACAGAGTAAGGGTCCTAAAACAATTAAAGGTAAAAAAAACATAAATCAACTTACAAACAGTAAAAAACATTAAACAGGGAAGACTCACATGTTCTCAGGAGATCTTCCTCACTGTTGTGGTTTCCTGGGTGTTTGTACTTTGGAATAAACTGCTGAGGAAGAGTGAAGCTCACACACTGAGTCTCCATCTTTGGGTCTGAAGTCAGAATCAAAAAGCAGGAATTACAGCTAGACGAGTAGACCGACTGATTCCAATTCACTACACCATGGTGTACACAAATCTACTAGGCTCCTTCATCCTAAGGCATTTATTTGACTTAATAAGCAGGCAGACAGTTACAACTTGTTTATTTTATTGAAATCATTGAAAAAAAACAATTTAAAGGTCCCATATTATGCTTTTTCTGGTTTTATATGCCCTTTAGTGTGTTTTCCAAGTGTCCTGTGCATGTTTAGGTACATCTATTTGCAATAATTCAAAGTCAGCGAAAACGCGGCTTCTCCTACGTCCTCCTGTTAGCTGTAGCATTAGCTGCATGTAACGCTCGGTTCTAGCCCCCCTCGATAAAGATTTGTGAGTCCGGCGTCATTGTCAGTGTGAGATCACTGATCTAAGCCCATTGGCTCGTTGTGGCAAGCCCTGCAGCTCATGTTGAAATTTCCAAGAAGCGTGCTGAGCAACTGACCAATAACGACAGAGCGGATCGGCAGACCAATCACAGCAGACTGGCCCCACGTGGGGTCTAACAGTGTGGGCTCAACAGAGTGCAGCTGACGGACTCAGAGCGCAGAGGGAGCAAGGAGGAGCAGTACATGAAAACAGACACTTTTTTCCAAACTTTAGCTATTGTGAACGTACAAAAGTAGGTACATAGATATGGGCTTTTCAAAATATTGGAATACAAATTAAACAGGTTTATTAATTTTTAGACTTGACAATGAAATATGATATCCACATCACCCATCTTGTAGTGTAATCAACTTAAATGTAACTGATTATGTTCCAAATTCTTATTTTAAATTTCACCAGAAAGTAAGATTTAATGTTAGAAAAAAAAAAACGGTGGAGCAGCAGTTAGCGATGTCTCCTCACAGCAAGAAGGTTTGAGTCCCTGTTTGGACAGCGGTTTTCTGTGTGGAGTTTGCATGTTAAACCAGTGCATGAGTGGGTTCTCTCCAGGCACTTTTAGCTTCGACCCAGCCACAGACATGCTCGTTGGGTAAAACGGTGACTCTATAATTGCCCATAGTGTCAATGTGTTTGTAGGTGTTTGTTTTTCTCAATGGTACTCTGCCTAAGTGAGTGATCGGCTCCAGGCCCACTTAACTCTGAGGCATTTCTTACAATGTGTTTTCATACCATGAATTCAATTTCTGTGTATGATCTGCTATTTTTACTTAAGCTCAAAACATCTGCTCTTACTGCTCCATCATCATGTGCCATGAAAACTCTTTCACAAAAAGAATTCTGATCACAATTTCATGTCATGTGCCATTTTTATTAAGTAACCATTACATATGTTCACATTTAGAGGAGATCTATCGAACAGTTTGGTATCAATAATAATAATAATACATTTTTTTTCATTATTAAAAGGAATGAAAATGTTCTTATAGCGGTTGACAACTTTGACTAATCTTAATATTGATTTGTACCTTTTCTTTTTCTTTTCTTATTATTTATATTGTATGTTTTATTTTTATATATTTTGTATATATAGATACATATATATATATATATATATATATATATATATTTTTGGGGTTTTATTATTATTATCATAACTTTTATTTATTTATGTATTTATTTATTTTGTACAAGGGGTGTTTGTACTGTTGTTGTCTAGGATGATATGTTCCCCTTCACGCACATTGCATTACTTTCTTTTACACCTTATGCTGGATGCTTGTGCGCTAATATTGCTACATGAACGTGTGTAATGTGAGATGTCTACAATTAATGCAAAAATCAATAAAAGACAGTTGAAATAAAAGGAATGAAAATGATTCAATAACTAAATAAAAATTAAAAAAAAGGCAATGTGTGTACATACAGAAGTTATATTTTTTTTAAAAAGGAGGTCTCACCTGGTTCTTTAAACCAGTGGGTCTGTCCAGGCACCCGGATGCACCTCCACCACAGCCCCAGGGTGCCATTCAGGCGGAATATGGTGTCGCTGTACGCCTTCTCATCGAACTCTCCGGTGATGAACTCCTCTCTGAGCTCCCTGAGCTCGGACGCGTTGCTCCCCTCACGTTTGACTGGTGGACTGCTGTACTGGTACCAGTGCTGAGTTCCCACCGCCACAGAGAGGTAGACTGTGGCCAGCAGGCTCAGCACCGAGCCGATGACCAGAGCTGTGGCGTAGCGGTTATCTACCATGGTCTGTGTGGAGACAGCTCAGTCTGAGCCTGTTTCTCTACTTAGAACCTGATTCAATTATATAATGATAATGATGAAAACTAAAAGAGGTTAGAGACTCCCACTAAAGCCCGGCTGTGTGGTTAAAACTGATGTTTTGGTGTTTGGGCACCAAGGCATGTCTGTCAACAACAGGGAGATGACGTCACAGTGTTGGTGGGACATAAAGATCGAGCACCGTCCCACAGAGAGAGAGAGAGAGAGAGGTGTTCACAACCTGCCGAACAAACAAACAAACAAACAAACATGCTCAGGTTAATGCACAATCCGTCATTTACTCCTGAAAGGACAACAGTACGGTGTGGAAACGAAACAGTCATCAGATCAACGAGCGAACATCAAAGGCAGCTTCCTTAGCGGTGCCGCCAGGTGAGCAAAACGAGCTACTCATAGGTAGAAACAGCTGACTGCTCTACTGGAGCAAGGTTGAAATATTTGTCACATGTTTTCTTTTCTTTTACCTCATCACTGAAACGACGACCATTACTCCGGTAATCGTTATATTATCTGCTTGATGTTCTGTATTTCTTTTTTTTTTTATCCCAGCAGGCCTCCGCACCTCTTCTTCTACGTTGTTAAGTTATTTTTTTTCTTCTTCTTTGTCTTCCAATATATTGGCAGCAGTTGTAAGACAGCCCCTTCGCAGCGCTTACGCCACCCTGTGGTTCGGAATGTATTTTGTATCGAGGCTACGGACATTCAAATTTCAGAGAATTTATATACAATGTCCCTTTGACTCATCTTGACCAAAGAAGCCTGCTTTACAACTGTGAAAATTCCTTATTATGTCTTATCAGTGTCACAGTAGTTCTAAAGAACACATTTAAGGGGTCCTAATTATATTCATGGAAACATATTTTTGTTCCCTTTTTAAAGTTTCTCTTAATCATGAATTGTCATCTACTTGATCGTATCTAGAGTGAGTTGTTAATTAAGGATGCCCAAAATGTGTTTTCTGTTGTAAAAGGCTCCTGTTTTCTTCATCCAACCTACATTTATAAATGTTGAAATGATTTTTGTTGGATTAACGCTTCCATTATCTCAGCATTTCTCAGATTCTCTGATTAATGGGTCTAATTTTGTGTTTAGTGAATACGTCGTCTTCTGTTAAAGAAAATATCTGGTCAATGTTAGGTAAATTTTTTTAAAGAGAAATGCTAAATGAAAAGTCTTTTGACTCTTCTCTGTTTTTGTTGTTGTTTTGGCTAACCATGTGTTGACCACACTACTAGCACACACTTTCTCCCTGTTTGCTTTATTAATGTAATATATATTTTAAAAAAGTCTTACTTGGAATATATTACTATGTCTACCACTCACAATAAAAGGAACCATTTGAGTATTATAAAATCATTTTATTTGGTCTTTTTAAAAGAATAATGCTTCACAAACATCCAATCGCACTGCAATGATCTTTTTTTTTGTAAAAGCTACAGAACACAAGTCCCACAATGTATCCACAGCCCTATGATAATACATAAAACATTTTTCCCTGGTGTGCATTTTCACATTGAAAAATAAACATTCTCTAAAATACAGGCCTTGTTGATGATTGGCCAATAATCCCTGTGGGGAGAGAAAAAAAGCCTCTGAATAAAAATGTAGAATCAGCGAGGTAGAGATGCCCACAGTGCATAAGGACACTTTCAATCATTAATGACATGTCCCAGAATCACCTTCGACATATTACAGCTTTTTAAAATCAAACCTTCACCAAGCTTAGACAAGTGCTGATTTGAAATCTGTAAGTGGTGTGAATAAATTCCTCTTGTGCAGCAGTGAGTTCCCTGACATTCGCTACAAATCGTCTACAGTAAACAGCCTCCAGTGCTGTTTGAGGTCAGACTGCACTGTTGCATTGAGGATGGGAGTGGTGGTGAACTCCACACTGCATGTCCCCGGGCTGCAGGGAGCCTCCTCCAGCTCCAGGACGGTCACATTGTTGGGTGCAGCTGTAGTCAGGATGTTGGCGGGGACAAAGAGAGTTACCTGAGGTCCTCGGCTCGGCCAGTAACGTCCCAGGTTGAAACCATTAATCCAAACTTGCCCCTACAAGAAAAAAAATAAAAGCACTGATTAATTGTCCATTTACAAGTATTGCATTCATTTTATGAATTAATCAAATCACACACATTGCTTGTTCTCTTCTTACCCCCCCCTTTAAACAAACTGTCCATTACACTAAACTATTGGTTAAATGTTTTTTTAGATCTATTATAGAGTGCATGTGATCAGTAATATATTTATCCACAAACAATCAGGGTTGTTTTTTTCCGACGCTTTCTTCACGTTTTGCTGACATTTTTTAAGGGGAAAGATTGACTTGCCTTCCTCCATTGTGGCAGCTTGATGTAGGTGTCCTGTGGGAGGTCGGGGATACCATCAGGAATGATGAAACTTCCCCCGTAGAACGCTGGGAGTGAGAGAGCAGCGGGGGCAGGAGGAGCTGTTGGTTTAGTTTCACCCAGGAGGCCCTGACTGACGGCTTCGTCGATACTGAGACTGTACATGGTCCAACCGAGGAGCGTATCCGCCCCCAGAGTCAGGTTGGACACCAGGCCCTGTGCAGCAGAAAAAACCAAAACACACAAAATCAGGAAGAGCACATTAGAAACTCAAGTCAAGTATAAAAGCATCCCAGCTTGTTGGAGAGAAGTCTCGCTCCACACATTTTGTAAATAAAATACTACAATCATTTATTTGTAGTGAAATCAAACTTACCAATCTGAAAATCGGGTTAAGCCTCCTGATAGTTATGCGTACACAGACACAAAGACAGTAACTTAAAAAAAAGAATCACCTTAAAATCGTTTATGCTTTTTCCATAGTTGATTCTGCCCATATTCTCCACCAGTATGTCCACCTGACTGCCAGATTTCCCCGTTACATTTATAGATATGGCTCTGTTCCTTTCAAGAATCCCCGCAGACACCTTGAGGAGAAATCAGCACGGTTAATAAATGTTGGTACACTATTCATAGCAGAAATAATTGGATTTTGCAACAGTTACATTTTAAAACAGGCCTCCATAAATGTCTCTCTCTTTTTCAGACGCGAAAACAATCCCTGAGTTACAGTGCCGCTGCCAAAACTACGACTTAAGTATCATATATACCTTCAACATAGTTTGAACTTGAAATCACTTTTCCATTTTCCGTTAAATAAAAGAAGTTATCAAACACCCTGTTCTGTCTTAACACAAGCACCTTTAAATGAAGTGTTGCCCATCTAAAAATAAAAAGTGAAATGATGCAGACGTACTGTAAGAACAATGGTACCATATAAAGATCTGAGGTTTACAGCCTGAAGTTTAACTAACCAAATGATTAACAGCGATTACAGCTGTGTCAACCTTTATTGAAAATGAGTTTATGACTTGTTAATTGACATGAAGGGTCCCTCCAATCACAACAACCCAGAGATGCAGAGTTTGGAGATATTATATGACTATGACATGAAAGTAAATAGTGGCTCGGTGGTAAAAAAAAAAAAAAAGGTTCTGAATGATTCACATTTTGCATATCATTCAGTGTCCCATTAGTAATCTGTAGTTAAGTATTTGGTTGGATCAGATAGTGGCTGTACACAAAGAGTGACTGAGATTACTTCTGACCAATTAATACAAAACATTTTATCTGTAGGGTCCATTTGGTTTTCATATTACGAAGTAAAGCTTGTAAACACACAGATGTTGGAAGAAGGACTGTCAAACTTGGGATACTTGAGAAATGGGAGCATGGGATAATGCACCTGAACGCAGCACAAGACTCACCCCGTCCACCGACACGTAAGCTCTGTCATGGACCCCGTTCAGAGGAGATGAAAGAGGAGTCGGTGTGCTGCAGTCAACAGGCAGACGAGTCCTGTAGAGCACGTAACCAAAGGCCTACAGGACAAACAAATACGTATGTATTCAAACAAATAAACAACTACAAGTTCAACCTGGAATTTCTTTTTTTTTTTTACTGAATGTTACCTGGCTCAGTTCAATGAAAGTTTGTGGATACATGCCTTTGACCGGGCCTGAGAAAGAAAGTATTTCTAAGGCGTCTGACACTGTCTGGAGCTGTGGGGACACAAAGATGTTTTTTATTCTTTATTTCTTTTAAGTCAGGTCTTGTAAAGGCTTTTATAACTTGAAATACTGGTTTACTGATTACTGGTTTATATGACAAAAACCTGTTTCATCACAACAGTTCCATATGCAAACTTTGGAGTAGTTGGTGGTATTGGCCCCTCTGGTATCTTACGGTGCTGTAATGAAAAGATACATCAGATACATCAAAGTGTGCCCTTTGAAAGAAACATACCACCAGTTGTTTTTTTTTTTGTTTGTTTTTTTAAGGAAAACTATTTACCATTTTGATCACCTCTCGAATAGCAAAGTATTTCTCTGTGAGGTCTCCTGCTTCCGAGAGCGGGGCGTCATAGTCGTAGCTCGTGGGCTGTGGGGCGAAAGGTGTGTTGGCCCCTGAAGGACCAACAATCACAGGTTATTGTCTTGGCAAGAAAGGATTAAAAAAAGGAGAGTTGCTGTGAGTCTCAAGAAAGGATTACATCATGGGATCAAACCTGTGTGTCAAAGTGCACTCACCATTCCAGTATCCAAAGTTTGTTCCTCCTATGAACATGTAACTGAAACATGGACGGAAATAAAACGTGATCAGATTTGAATGACTTTTCACGAGTTCTCTTCTCTCCTCTAATATCTGTATATGCAGGTTTTACAGTTTGTATATTGTAACCAGGAATTTGTTTTACTAGAGATTCATGCATTATTATAAAACAGTGTATAAATTTCCAGCATTACAGATTGAGACTTCCATTAAATGTTGAATCAGGCAGTGGTTAACATTTAAATCAAGGGGGGATTGCCCCATCTTACCCTCAACCAAATATATACAAAAAATACCCATTTCTGCAGTCATGTCTCACTAGAAGGCTGATTCTTGCAGAAATAAAAAATCAATGTAAATGTCCCATACAGGATCCTAAGAGTAACATTTTGTGGTGTTGGGATAGAGAGGGGAATACAGGGATTTCCACAAACATAAAGAGGAACAAACTAGTGAGAAATGGTCTGCAGCTCGGGGCAACCAGGGCTCCAGAGAAAAACACTGGCTGCAAAAAGTCCAAACTTGGACTCTAGCATATTCTTTTGCTACTTTTTCATCATGTACACTGATGTTAATTGTTGCATAATTGCATGCATTCAGTGACACTGCATACTTAGTTGAACATATGAAGTAAATGATTGTAAAGGCTTCTTCCAGTTCTAGACCAAACAGTCTGTAAATAGCCCATTATACCGTATACTGATAAGTTGTGGGTTGTTTGAGAGGTAGCATCTCCCTCTCATCACTTCCTGAAATCACCCTCTGTTCATATACTTCATCATCGTGCCTACATCTGTCGCAGACTCACAGGTTGACGTTTGCTCCCATGGACAGGATCTCGTTAAGCGACTTAGCGACTCTGGCAGTTGACACGACAGAGTGACGTGACCCCCAGTGGTCCAGCCAGCCAGTGTAAAACTCTGAGTTCACCTGTGAAGACAACAGTAAAACTGTATGAGTGTCAGCGAGGAGAAGCGGTGTGGTTTTTAACAATCAAGGGTTCGATCTGGATCGAGGGGAAAACACTTGCCAAAGGTCCACGAGGTTCAGCGTGTCTCTGTGCATCGAAGGCTGCGGTGACATTTCCACCTAACAGAGTCCAAATAAAAACACATCCTCAGACATACTGCTCAAGCGCAGCTTCCTCATGACTTGTGACTAAGCTACAATGTGGCATTAAGTCAGTGTGAAAAAAAGAACAGGAAGCTGAAGACTCATGCAATGTAACTTCTCTAATACACCTTTAAAACTCAACCTTTACGAACACAAGTTAAACCTTAGGAACATTTTATTTTTTTACCATTAACTAAAACCTATCTGTTCAGTGATCGTCTATGAAACAATACCATATGATACGGTACACTACAGTACAGTGCAGTGAGTCACAACAGGAGAGGATAGGAAAATGTACAATACGCTACAGTAGGATATGAAAACAAAATACTACATAGTACAACACGGTAAGACGTGATACGATAGCCTCAGTTCATATCGCAGTACGATACCATATGCTAACATGTTGTTTTTAATCTTTTACACTGATGTGACGTCTTTAATTTTACTGTGAAGCACTTAGTGGCAGGTTGTTGTGAAAGGACTTCTTTAAATTAAGTCTATAAATTAAGTTGCTTGTGTGCAGTAAATTAAAGAATGTGGACTGGACACCGAACACCAACCTGGCCCAAAATCAACAGTGGCGTAGAGATCTTGTATCGAGCCACACTTGAGGAAGCTGACCCCGGCCCCATCTGTGGTGAAGAGCACCACGTCGTCACCCAGGTGAGACCGGAACAGCTTGGTCAGGTGTCGCATGTAGTTGTAGTCACAAGCAAAATAACTGCCGTATTCATTCTCCACCTAAAAAGCAAAGAAAAAAAAAACGAAGGTGGAGGATAAATACTGTAAAAAAAAAAAAAAAAAAATAAGACATGCAGAAATGAGCACTCAGCCCTCACCTGAACAGTGATAATAGGACCTCCATTCTGGTAGAGATAGGGCTTCATCATTGGCAGCAACTTCCCCATCCATGCGTCTACTGCTGTGATGTAATCTAATGCACACAAATCATAGTGTGGTACATTACGCAGCAAGAAAACGTGATCTTATGTCATAATTCTATCTGTTTTTCTGAGACTCTCACCTGGATCTGAAGACCTCAGCACAATGTCTTTCTTGTTAAGAAGCCAGGCAGGGAGTCCACCCTGTTCAACAGAATAAAGACAAACATCATTTACACTACAGTAATTGGCATACCATTAATAAAAGAATCACATGTAGTTTAAGCTTAACTAAACTTAAACAAATGGTGCTCCAAAGTCCATGTTTTTTTCAGATTAAAGAGCATTTCTACAGTACACTTAAAAATGTGGCTTGAAAAAGAACAATGATTGTGGTCTTTTTCATATCGGAGCACAGAAAAAAGTTAAAACTTATTATACAGTATACATTCAAATCACCTTCTTCAGATCAATGCACTCCTCCTCTGTCCTATCATATGCTCACTGCACTGCAAACATATTTTACAAGGGTATTGCTATATTCACAACTCTGTCAGCCCAACTTAAACCGGGGAACGTATTTAATTCTGTGAATACAAACATATCTATCCGTCCATTCATTTTCTTCCACTTATCGGCCCACTAAGTCAACTCCGACTTCCCTCTCCCTAGCAACATTTTCCAGCTCCTTCTGGGAGATTCTGAGGCGTTCCCAGGCCAGACGGGATATATAATCCCCCCAGCGAGCTGTGGGTCTACATCCCTACATCTACATCCTCTTTTTTTACAATTTGAAACCTGTCAACATATGCCTCCACGGTTCTGGATGATGGAGATAACTACATTAATGTAACTTTTAGCTCACATAAGTCCTAGTTTACTTAAGAGTTACCTGGTGACTATACTGTATGTTTAGTGTTAGTGGACAAAAAACCATGATTTGTTTTAACGTGTCATCCCCCTGTGTGAGGGCTGAAGTACTGAGATATTTCAGTTCAGTTAAAGTAGCAACATCATGACATAAAAAAGAACTTCATAACTGGTTTAAGCTGTAAATTCATTAATACACTACTGATTAGGTAGAAGAGTATTATTAGATAATACTGTCTGGTTTGGCATAATTATGTCTAGTTTATATTATCACAAATGTTGTAATCATTGTGTATAATATTGCTTATCAAAGAAGCTATGAAATATCTCTTTCAGTTTCTGAATTGTTCTTTAAGGAAAAGTACAACATAGACAACATTAGTTATTTGTTCAATGTTTCCTACTTATTTCTGAGCACCATTAAGAACTAAAAATGTATTTCTTATCTGACAAACAGCCCACCATGTCCCATTCTCCGCATATGTACGGTCCAGGCCGAAGGATGACCAGGAGACCAATGTCCTTGGCCAGCTGAAGGAAGTACTCCACGTCCTGGTCTCCACTGAAACTGTAGCGGCCCGGAGACTCCTCGTGGTAGTTCCAGGGGATGTACCTTCAAGGTGAAGGTAACATCAGTTTAAAAACCCACACCCAAGGTTTTTACATACGCCTTATAGCTAAGGTATACATGAAACTAGGAATATGGAAAACAAAAAGGAAGGCAACAGTACTAAGAGATGGGATAGTGTATCATCACAGAGTACAAGCTGTAATCAGATTTCAGTTTCAATATTTAAATCCTGTTGGTCTATGATGTCTGTGGCCTATGTAAAGTAGTGATTCGTAGATGTCTTTATAAAGTGAATCAGTACAGCTACTTTCATTCTGTCCACTGTGATTCATTCTGTCCTCAGCATTTGTTCATAATTATGTTAGATGTGAAGATCTATCCAATCCTGGATATACTCCATAACTTTTTGATGATCAAGTCAAAGAAAACACAACATTTCAGCTTTTTCATTCCTCAAACCTGGAGCTTTAACAGCAGTACACCTTCATACTTCTTCTCCAGCTCTCCAAATTCCAAAGATAAAGAGTTTACAAGACATACAGAAATGATTTACTTTTAAGAAGCCGTGGCCAGAGAATTACGTTAGAGGTTAATCCTATTTGAAAGTTTATTTCTGTGTACCAGTCGTTTTGGCGGTAGAGTAAGATCTAGTTGAGCAGAAGGCCTTTATCCCGGTCGCATGCAAACGTTTAGAGACCCAAACATGTATGTCACAGGTAATAACTTCTCGAACATACAGTCACTTTAAAGACATTAGTTCTTGCATTAAATGGAGCTGAAACATCCCAACAACTGCCTGTGCCTGAAAGACCACATCAATGGAATGGGTAAAGAGAGCGAGGCACGAGGTAAACATACGTCTGGACGGCGTTCAGTCCTGCCATGTACATCTTCAGCAGTCGATCCTTCCAGTACACTCTGGGGATCCTGTTGTAGTGGATGCTTCCTGATATGTAACGAAACACTTCTCCATCTTTCCTGAAGCAGTCGTTCTCGTAGTCCACGCTGAACGTACCAGGGTCTCCGAGCTGCAATACAACGGAAATGACAGACCTGGTACTTTACCGATCAACATTTGTAGACAGCTGAGTCGGCTTATGTTGTGTGGTTAAAGTTTCATGCTTTATGGCTCAAGACTGGCATCTCAGCTGACTTTGAACCAGCTGCTAACCTTTGCTGTCCCTGAAAGGTTGGAAAAAAAGCTTCCCTACAAAAACTGTACAGTCTGCCTACCAATACAAACCATTCCAACCTATTTAAAAAAGTTTTTTTAAATGCCTCTGTGTATTTTAGACTAGGCTACTATTTCATAAAGACTACACACACATACAACACATTATATTAAAGAGAGTTTAAAGACTGGATGAAACCTATCATGATCATGTTTAATTAAACTTGTAAAAACCTAAATAATGACAGTGACTGACCCCACTTGTGTTTAATCAACTCATTATATCAACATGAAAATGATGGATGCAAATGTCCCTTAAGCACTATTCATACAAATATTCACATCGCTCATGTAGATGTTAGTCTGTGGAATTAAAGTCCTCACATCATTTAGTCCCATGTTTGAGGCGGCAGAGCTTTAAATCACAGGAATAATCATCTTTGATTTATTTTTTTAAACATATAAACAATACTAAAAGGCACAACTCTTCCAATAGAAGTAGTCTGAGGTACTTACTGAATGTGCAAACAGCAGCAGAGTGACTCCAAATCTGAGCAGAGACATGATCCGCACTTTCCTTAATATTTACAGCCCTATGGTGCTCTCACAAAGCCAGTCCTCCGGTTTGAGGTCTGAGGTGCAGGTTTACATTAACGTGGCTCTTCATGAAGTGTTTACTTACACATAGCGTCGCTTACTTCCCTGAAAGCACTGTGACATTTTAAATGAATGTGGACTCGTGAGGTACGGAAGTAAAATCATGTGATACGGCATCGTTGTGATGTAATAGCGCCCCTTCATCAATAGGTGGCAGCATTGTGCCTCTTTTTTTTTTCTTTTTTTTTTTAAACGTAATTTGAGTTACAAGATTTTTCAGAGTTTATATTTGACGACAGGGTGGATAATAAACTGATGAACTCACTCAATAACAACATTAATTTAAACATGTGATCTAAATAGCCAACTGAATGGGAAGATGGATCAAAGACAGACATGTGTTTTAATCCCTAACAAAATGAATTTGATGTGTTCTGATCAGAGTATTGTATATTATTTTCGAACTTTTTATGTTTTTTATGACTTTATATTGACTGTATGTAGCCTAGATGAAAAGAGCCTATGTGCTGGTTGACAAATAACATTAAAAAGCCAACCCTAACCCAACCCTTACCGAATAATGTTTTAGAGACTGATACAGCTGCAGGGACATTCTCCAAAGTGTGTCATAAATTATTACACAATTCCTGCCAGAAGAGACTCCTGCTGTACTGTCTCGCCAGGTCTCTGGCCTTGAACTCCAGGCAGGCAGATGTTTTCTAGTCTTTGGTTAGTTCATTCTTCTTTATCCAGGTGCTCATTATTTGGTTATTATCCAGCCTCTTTGAGTTATGTGTTGTTGCCAAAAACAATTTCTTTAGGCCTACCTCTCGTTTTCTAAAGAATCAACAAAGCTATATTACCATGATACTCATCAGTAGAATCCTAATCCTCCAAACTCAGCCAGGAAATCTTTGATGGACCATATCACACATTTTGTCAGCATCTTAAAGCCTGTACAGCTTCTGGTGCTAACCAAGCTTAATCATAAAATGTGTTTTATTGCCCAAGTTACTGTACATGGTCTAGTAACCCACCAAGTTAAAGAAAAAATGTTTCACGGTAATTTCAATAATGATCATAAAAGCAGGATTTCTTCATCTTTAAATACAGTATATTCAGATATTTGACTTGAAATTTGTTTTTTTCTTAACAAACCTGGCGAAAACCATTGAGTTATTTTCTGTACTGGCAGGAAAGACAGTTATGCTTTCGTCGTAGCTGGAGCTTGTCTGCATGTGGGCAGGCGTAGTTACCAGGACTCCTCCCTCTGAACAGTCTCTGGCTGAATCTCCATTTCCTACTTATACATATTGTTCCAAGCATTACAAACTGTCATCTACTAGAACAAAACACTGGACCCAGAGAGGGTAGTGGCGTTTCAGAAAAACTAAAAACTACAAATTCCACTGTTGCATCCACCAAAGTGCTCTTGTGGATAGAAAGTATAGTTGTACAGTTTCCTCTCTGCATGGTAGAGTCAGTCAGTGAACCGTGTTAAGAGGTCATATAAGCCACGCTGATAGAACCAAATTCCCACTTACATGAGCCAGACTTGTCAACAGAAAGCCAGGCTTCTCCTTAATTCTGCACCGAGAATACCCCATGAGAACCATGTATTTAAACTCTGATGTTTATTGAACTCTGCCTTGTGTGATTCTGCATTTTTAGGTCTTTTTTTCTCTGCCAGTTTCCTTGTTGGCATCAGAGTCAGGTACAGTCCCCGAGGCAGGTGTAGTTGTAGGAAGCACTTTCTGCAAGGAGGAAATCTCAAATGTTGAGATTCTTTAAATCAAACACAGACTGGAGATAGAGCAACATTTGATTGTGCCTGAAAACATAAAATGTGCTTAGATTTTTCTATATACATTTCTTTTAAAGTTTATTATATAGCACATTTGAGCAACAATGCAATTGAAAATGCTTCACTCAAGACATCAAAAGCTTCAAGGCAAAGGGCAGAAAAACCCATCAAAAGAGGTCATTTAAGAAAATAAAAATCAAACATAAAATCAAAGAGAAGAAAATCAGCTAAAACAGAATCAAAAAAGGGTTAGGGTTAAACAAATTAAGAGTAGAAGTTACAGTGCAGAGTTATAAAGTAAAAAAAACGACATATTAGAATACATTTATTAAAATTGTTTAATGAAAGGCAGCTGTAAACAGGTGATTCTTCAACCTTGATTTAAAAGAGCTGAGTTTCTCTGCGGACCTGCAGTTTTCTGGAAGTTTGTTTTAGATATACAGAGCACACATTCACATACTTTTCAGTGTTGTGTCCAAAAAAACCTTCCCTGTTCTGTTTATGAGACAGGTATTATTGCTGCGTAAATTAGATTGTCATGCCAACAGAACCTTCACTATGCACTTTATCGCTACAGAGAATTATTTCACTTTGAATTTCCTGAATGAGGAGTAATGGCTTACCATTGACTATAAAAATGTTTTTATAGTCAATGGCTTACCATTGACTATAAAAATGTTTTTATAAAAATGTTTTTATAGTCAATGGCTTACCATTGACTATAAAAATATTTTTTTAGTCAATGGCTTACCATTGACTATAAAAATATTTTTGTGAAACATATTTCCCTGTTTGCGTAATTTTCACGTTGTCTTATATTTTCTTTTCAAAAGGGTAATTCCCCAAAGTCCCTTTCTCTGCCACTATTTCTTTGTTAGCATCAGTCAGGTACAGTCCCCGAGGCAGGTGTAGTTGTAGGAAGCACTTTCTGCAAGGAGGAAATCTCAAATGTTGACATCCTTTAAATCAAACACAGACTGGAGATAGAGTAACGTCAGATTGTGTTCAAAAACAAAAAATGTTTTTAGATATTTTTTTCCGTCTCTGATTAACTTTCTCTATGTAGATTAACCTCAGCAGAACTACTCAGAATGAAAGCATTCTAGTACTTCAACCAAAAAAGGAAATGTAAATGGACTTGTATAGTCATTCAACTACTCAAGGTGCTTGTCAGCAGTCACCATTTACAAACAGATTTGAACATTAATTTAGTGCTATGCAAGGCAATTTCTATTGTGAGTAGGTTGTCAAAAACCCAAAACATCCCAGGAGCAATTTAATGGATTCAGAAAATCGCTCCAAAAAACCCACTAGAGATGATCAGAGTCTGATATAAGTAAGGTTTATTCCTCGGTTACAGGAGAAAACACCCAACAAGCCTGAGAATCTGTATTCAGCTCAGTTCTTTCACTCAGACTCCCTGCCTATGTACTGTAGGGTTTGAAGACAAAGAATCAAAGAAACCACATCTTGTTACGCTTTTCTTGGTTTACAGCGTATTTTAAACAATTTCCTCTCTGCATGGTAGAATCAGTCAGTGAACCGTGTTAAGAGGTCATATAAGCCACGCTGATAGAACCAAATTCCCACTTACATGAGCCAGACTTGTCAACAGAAAGCCAGGCTTCTCCTTAATTCTGCACCGAGAATACCCCATGAGAACCATGTATTTAAACTCTGATGTTTATTGAACTCTGCCTTGTGTGATTCTGCATTTTTAGGTCTTTTTTTCTCTGCCAGTTTCCTTGTTGGCATCAGAGTCAGGTACAGTCCCCGAGGCAGGTGTAGTTGTAGGAAGCACTTTCTGCAAGGAGGAAATCTCAAATGTTGAGATTCTTTAAATCAAACACAGACTGGAGATAGAGCAACATTTGATTGTGCCTGAAAACATTAAATGTGCTTAGATTTTTCTATATACATTTCTTTTAAAGTTTATTATATAGCACATTTGAGCAACAATGCAATTGAAAATGCTTCACTCAAGACATCAAAAGCTTCAAGGCAAAGGGCAGAAAAACCCATCAAAAGAGGTCATTTAAGAAAATAAAAATCAAACATAAAATCAAAGAGAAGAAAATCAGCTAAAACAGAATCAAAAAAGGGTTAGGGTTAAACAAATTAAGAGTAGAAGTTACAGTGCAGAGTTATAAAGTAAAAAAAACGACATATTAGAATACATTTATTAAAATTGTTTAATGAAAGGCAGCTGTAAACAGGTGATTCTTCAACCTTGATTTAAAAGAGCTGAGTTTCTCTGCGGACCTGCAGTTTTCTGGAAGTTTGTTTTAGATATACAGAGCACACATTCACATACTTTTCAGTGTTGTGTCCAAAAAAACCTTCCCTGTTCTGTTTATGAGACAGGTATTATTGCTGCGTAAATTAGATTGTCATGCCAACAGAACCTTCACTATGCACTTTATCGCTACAGAGAATTATTTCACTTTGAATTTCCTGAATGAGGAGTAATGGCTTACCATTGACTATAAAAATGTTTTTATAGTCAATGGCTTACCATTGACTATAAAAATATTTTTATAGTCAATGGCTTACCATTGACTATAAAAATGTTTTTATAAAAATGTTTTTATAGTCAATGGCTTACCATTGACTATAAAAATATTTTTTTAGTCAATGGCTTACCATTGACTATAAAAATGTTTTTGTGAAACAAACTTCCCTGTTTGCGTAATTTTCACGTTGTCTTACATTTTCTTTTCAAAAGGGTAATTCCCCAAAGTCCCTTTCTCTGCCACTATTTCTTTGTTAGCATCAGTCAGGTACAGTCCCCGAGGCAGGTGTAGTTGTAGGAAGCACTTTCTGCAAGGAGGAAATCTCAAATGTTGACATCCTTTAAATCAAACACAGACTGGAGATAGAGTAACATCAGATTGTGTTCAAAAACAAAAAATGTTTTTAGATATTTTTTTCCGTCTCTGATTAACTTTCTCTATGTAGATTAACCTCAGCAGAACTACTCAGAATGAAAGCATTCTAGTACTTCAACCAAAAAAGGAAATGTAAATGGACTTATATAGTCATTCAACTACTCAAGGTGCTTGTCAGCAGTCACCATTTACAAACAGATTTGAACATTAATTTAGTGCTATACAAGGCAATTTATATTGTGAGTATTGTACTGTAGGGTTTGAAGACAAAGAATCAAAGAAACCACATCTTGTTAAGCTTTTCTTGGTTTACAGCGTGTTTTAAACATTATCGTTATTTAACTGTTGCATAATGTATCCATTGGTCTTACACACAAACATAAACATCAGTGAGGGCTTAGTGCTGCCCCATGATGAAATTGTCAAGTGTGCGATGCCTCTGATGTTGATTTATCAACAGCAAATTACACATTT